AGGGAGTTTATATCCAAGACTGAGGCTGCCAAGAAAGAATGCACATTAATTTGGAAAAAGTCACACCATTTGCATATCTTCCAGGAAGCTCAGCAGCACTAAAGTCGGTGCCTACAACACAGGGGTACTGATCATGGTCAACCATGAGTTCTTTCTCTTTGCTTGCTGAGAAGCTGGTTTTGACTCCTTTTTTTATGATCAATATAAGTTGAGAAGTATCTTTAGAAAAGGCCAAGTTTCCTTCACTGTATTATGCTCAAGCAAGCATTTTTTTTTAACAAGTTCTGCAATCTGTGTTGTGTGGAGGGGAGTGTTGTTGAGGTATTATAGACCCCAGGGAGAGGAGGAACTAAATCACAAATAAAAGATGTCTCCTCCAACATTTCCATAAGAAATAATAACTCTACATCACCTTCCTCCTCAAATTTACAGCATTCCAAACAAGTGTTACATCTTAAATCAGCTGAATGTACAATAAAATGAACCGTCCAGGAAAGCTCATAAAGGAATGGACAATAAACAGAGTGGAATTAGAGAGTAACAAGGATGAAGCAAAAGCTGAGGAAATAAGGAACTTCGGGAAAGTTAACAGCAATTTGTTCTTCTAGTGCTGTGTTCATTTAGCCCACAGGAAGAAAAAAATCTAAGTTCAGTCATTGCAAAAAACAACTGAAAAATGCTTCAGTAAATTAAGATATGTCAGCAAATGAGCATTTTTTTATCCCATGGTAATTCAAGAATCTGTTTTGATGCTATGCAATCAGATTAACAGCAGCATTAAGGCAACTGTGAATTATAACTGAATTGAAATTTTACAAAAAAGTATATATGCTTTAAAGCAATACATTCATTGATCATAATTTACATTTCAAATGGAAGAGTAGAAGAGGTATATTTATTTTGCAAGAGCAGACGGAAAAAAATGTCATGTATTTCTTAGGATGAATTTAAAAACCCACGCGATGTTGTTGCAGAAAATGAAAGCCATGTCAGAAATGTAACATTTGAAAACTTATGTTAAATACACTTCCATTAAAGAAGTTTTTCCAAAGCTTTTTGAACTGTTAAAAAAAAATCAGTAAAATTTTTCAGCATCTGGAGCCTAGTTTTCAGCTCTGGAAAAAAGAGCAGAAGTAAAAAGTCCCTGTCCATTTCCAACTACAGCAGAGATGTCAGAGACACAAATTTACGAACTTTCAGAGTACAATGGGCATTTCTGCACTAAGGCAGAAAGAAAATGAACTGGGATCCTGCAGATGCTTTGGATGAAGTCTCTGGAAGAGATCTAGTGAGGGACCATGTGAGCCGCAGCTGGATCTAACTGTTCCAGAAATTTTTACTTTTAAGAATTTGAAAAATTGTCAGTTTCAGAAAGGAAAAGGACTTTGTATAATGCTGTATACAAAATTTTCCCTACTAAGTTATAGTAAATAGACTACATTGTTTCATTAAGAATTGAGCCAGAGCAAGTTTCTTAGAACACAAGACAAATCCTATCATGAGGTCTCTGCCTGAAAACATTACTGTGGGGAGTATTTGTCTTAAGATGTGACAAGTAACAAAAAGAGCTCTACAGAAAAAAAAAAAAAAAAGATTATTTTTCCCTAACATAATGTTCCTGAGTCTTTAATGATTTTTGAAATTTATTTCTTCAAATTATAAAATATTAAATTAAAAAAATATGTTAAAAGCCAAATGTCACACACCCCATGGTCTTCCTAGGAATTCAGAATCAGCTGGTAGCCTTCACTTCTCATACCTCCTTACTAAAAAAGCACTAGGGAATTGCTGACAGGGTTCAGCATTGTGCAGAATATTAAATATCTTTTTTGCAATACCCTGGTGACTCTTGAGTCTGTCTCTTACAGCACCATATGTACAGCTGTGTTGGAAAGAGGAAACTATTAAATATATTAAAAAGTAGAAATATTACCAATAGACACTTCATCAAATAACTGGATCTCATTCATCCCCAAACAAAGCAAGAAATGTTAAGGTTACATCAACATAAGAAAATAACTCTGGATTTAATAACAGCACAAGCCTGTTGAACATATTTGAAAGTAAAAACATTGCTTAATAAAACAGATTAGTGTTTCTGAAACAATGAATATAGCTTTCAACCATCAGAATGCTTTGGTAACAAAGACATTGGCCTTGGTTTTGAAAGGTGCTGGGTGTCTCAGTTCCCACACCATAGCCACAGTTAGAAGGTCTTCAGGTCCAAATATATTACCTTTAGTTTACTGCCAACATAGGACTAGGAGTATTTTCTATCAAAAAGGATTTAATAAAGAGGAAGGAAAAAAGAGTATTTTGTTTGAGATTGCATTCGTAAATCTATTCTTGAAAGTTTGCCCTCATCCCACACACACGTACAAATCTTGCATCCACATCTCCAACAAATGCTTGAAGGAGACGGCCACGACACACCTGCGTGGCACAGGGGCACACAAAGCACACAACCACGGAAACTCAAAAACATCGGAACTTAGGAACTCAGTGTCACTTGTTTTCGAGAGTGAGTTTCAGAAAGGACATTTTTGAGGTTTCTAAGCACCTAAAGACACCAAGGGGAAAACTGGACTTTCAGTGGCTCCTTCCTCGTAAGAATTTAAATCGGCGTTAAGCGAGAACGCGCTGCCAAAAATCCCACTTGCCGCCCAGCCGCACTTTTACACTTACATAAGACTTTTACAAGTACGGCTGTTCAGCCCTAGAAGCCTAACACCCATCAACTTTTAATAAGATTTGCAATCTTAAATGCTCAAGTAACTTCAGAAGAAAGGACTTGGGCTGTTTGTAAAACTTTCCCCATAGGCCCCCATCTTGTGCAGCAGAGCTCGCGGCGCTCCCGGGGAGCCGCGGTGATTTCAGCGCTGCTCTGGGTGGAACTGCTTCACGGCTACATAGCAGGAGTTCCTCTCTCACACTTCAGAGAAAGAAATGAGAAAATAAAGAACACCTATGGAGCCCTGCTAAGCATAACTTCCCGTAAAAATACTGCAGATCTGAATGTTTGTTTAACTATCACAAGGACTGTGTTACTTACCCCACTTAAAAATTTCTGGAATAATTTTGCAAGACTCCAGTACTACTTTTGCTAAAACTGGTGCAGGAGCCTATGTTTCTTCTTCTAGGGAAAAGAAGTTTTGTTACTCACAGTAATAATGGAATAATTTACATATTTTACTCCTGAACGCATATTTCTATCTAGAGTCACAGTTTTTACTTTTAGTAGCATTCCTCCCTCATTCATTCACCTTGTTTTTCACCTTGTTGCAGTTGACTACTGCCTTGCAAGATAATTACAACCAATGATTCAAGAACTTTTTAGATACATGTCTAAAGAGCAGTGAAACTTCTCGAATCAACTGTTAACAGAAATTGAGACCCTAAGGCTACAGGCATTTTCCATGTATTGCATCAAGATAACTGGTTTGTCCCTACAAAAGGTAAGCAATTAAAAAGTGTAATACTCCAGACAGTGAACCCACAAGAGATTCTGCACAGACTTCTTTCCTATCATATGGTTTGTGAACATAGGGCTTTGTAATAAATACAGTTTACAAAAACAAACAAACACCAGGGCAAAGAGAGCTTTGACTTGTCTTTGGTGCTCTCCAACCTCGACCATGCATTTAAGCAGGACCAGGTTTTGAGGCGGTTTCAGCAGAAGCAGTTGTCTGACCAAGAAGCCCTGCCTGGTGTTGACCATACAAATTTCCATCTCCAGCTGCCAATGTTGCTGGAGGTTCAACCCCAGCACAGTTAGAGACTGTGCAAGACAAGCAATGCCAGTCTTTCAGTGGCTTGGACGCAAACACCAGCACCTCACCACAGACCCACCATCACTATGGATACCAGACTTTAATTTTAACAGCTGAGATTTGGGCACAGGAGCCTTTGTACTCGACTGAAGAGACACTGGAGGAGGAAAGGCACCTGGAACAGGATCTTCATAACCGCAGCAGAAAGTTCTGTCAGCATTCACATGTCACTGCCAACACAGAGCTCACTTGGAGGTCTCCATGTTCTGATTCAGCTTCTGTGGGACAAGCAGATCTAAACCAAACCCAAAGCAAGGAGTCACAGGCATACCTGCAGTACCCTCATATCTACAGTCTGAGCTACACAAACACATGGAGGATAAATTACACTGGTACTAAATACCTTGTGCAACCATGTCCTGTCTAGGAATTACAACAACATTACTCATTTAGTTGAAAAACTCAGAGAATCAGATAAGTACAGTTCAACTTAATAGACTGCTATGATGCTTTGGGCTGTTTTTAATTCCTTTCTTTGCATTCCAGTGTCTGAACTTCCTGGCAAACAGTTTTATTTGACAAAGGCTTGCATAGGTAGGGATGGAAGCTACCACAAGAGCTGAAATTTCTCTTCAGTCTTCTCAGCTGAGGCCTGCTGTACAGTGCAGCCTGTGGGATCATGGCCTAAGACTAATCAGGAGAGCAAAGCACTGTGCTGTTGTGGTAAGCCTTCATTAAGTCACAGCTCATTGACCACTAAAACATAAATATAAAATATTTAAACACACGTGGTTAAAGCAACTGAAGGAAAACAATTTTAAAGAGAACCACACCAGGTTTCAGGGCATCTGAGTCTCACGCATGGCTCAAACTGAAGTAGGGGATGAATGGGGGTATGGCCCTGTGCAGAACAGAGAAAACTGCTTAGAAAAACACACTGTAATGAGTTCATGTTACACACAAGAGTTTGTCAGAAAAGTTAATGTTATTGACAGTCCTTCCCTGTGCACAGTAAGCACTTTGATTACAGTAAACTTCTCTGGAAGAGGTCAGGCCACAATGACATAACTGTATAGGTTAAGAGATGTGAACACAGAATCAACGACTAACGTACTAATTTCATTTCAAAGTACATACGTTCATAATAAGGCTACTGTTTCCCACCCTCCCCAAGTCCAACTGTCCAAAGAATACAAATTATAATTAAAAAAAAACCCAACCATGACTTACTCTGTTTTCCGCCTTTGCTTGTCTTCAAATATATCATTCAGACTTATGGCCACCTGTCCCAAAAACCTGTCCAGCCCCACAAGCGACCTGTGCATGACAATCAGGTACAGGATGTATTTTTCTGGATTCTCCTGCATGAGTAGTCCAGGGAGCTCGAAGGAGGCCTCTTCTTTCCAGATGGGATCCAGCGTCTTCTCAGCCACCGAGGTGGAATACTTCTCCTTGCCCAGCTGTATGATGGTGTAGGCATCGTTGCTGCCATTTTTACCTTTTGGCTTCAGACCTTTGGCTTGAAGGACCGTAACTTGCACGTGAGTTGGGAACCACTTCTGGGCTTGCTCTGCCAACATCATCTCTGGAGATCGCAGCAGCAGCAGCAATAACAAACGCAAAGTCCGTCAGTCCTCGAGTGACTGCGTAAGGGCACTTACGGCGGAGACACCTGTCAGGGGCTCGGCTGGTCCTTCCTCTAGCGCTGCTGGCCGTGGGTGGCCCTCACCAGCACGCGGGTCCCCCCTTTCCCCGGCAGCCCCACCTGCGGCTCCATGGCCGGGGGCTGCAGGTCCCGCCGCAGCCCCGGCCCCGCCGCCCTTCCCGCGCCCGGCCTGGCCCTGCCCGCCGCCGCCGCTGCCGCCGGCCCGGCCCCGCGCCGCCCCCAGGGCATCCCCCGGGCAGGGCCGCTCCGCCGCGGGGCCCCGCAGGCCGGCGGCGGCCTCCCCTCGCTCGTGGCGGCTCGGTGCCGGCGGGGAGCTCGGTACCGGGCTGCCCTCCCTGCCTCCGTCAGTCCGCCCGTCGCCGCCGCGGCCGCCTCAGCCTCTCGCCGCGCTGCCCCCCCGCCGCCGCCCGGCCTGACGGGCCGGCTCCGTCGCTTCCGCCTTCCCCATGCTGCGGAGAGGGCAGAGGGCAGGGTTCGCCGCCGCCCTCCCTCTCTTCCCCTCGCCGCCGTTCCCCGCCGCCCGGACAGCGCTGCCCGGAGCACCGAGCACCCGCGCTGCCCGCGGGCAGGGCCGGACAGGCCGCGGCTCCCCCGGGCGTGACGGAGCGCTGGGCTCCCGGGGCCCCCTCCCGGCTGAGATCCCCGTCCCGTTAATTAATTCAGCGCTATTTTTGTTTCTAGAGCGGGCAGAGAGCTCTGCGGGAGCTGCGGAGAGGAGGGAACCTGGCTGAAGGCGTCAATTATTGGTATTAATTCGCAATATTAGGGGCTCGGGGGCGGCCATGGAGCCGGCCGGGAGTGGAACCCATCCTGCTGCCAACCGCTTCGGGAACTTCCTTATTTTTCAGCCCCATCCACCCGCCCTGGCAAATCTGTTGGATTTAAATGGGAGAGTGAAAATTGCAAAATATAAAACATATTCATAAAAATATTATACGACATGTTTTGAGGGCATATAATTTTGCTTATGGTACACCTGGAGACTGCACGTGTTTACATGCGCACCTGTAAGTGCAGTCACAGGTATTAATGTAGTTTCTAAAACAAACAAATAAATAAATAAATAAATAAATGAAATTGGGGTTGCAAGGCTGTGTATTCCACCCCTGCAAACCACAAAAAATAAGGAAACCAGCAGCCAGGTCAGATAGTGAGCAAAATAACCTTGGGAGACCTTCTCATACTGCTGAGACCTACAGGAAATTAAAAACTTAAAAGTGAAGGCCTTTAGGGAGAGTAAAGTATGATGCTGCCCACAATACCTAATGCCAAGCAAGTTATCATGCAGGGTCTGAAAAGGGGGGGTCACCAGTCTACACAGTGTCATTAGCTTCAGTCCCAGCTCATGTCATCTCTGTACACAGTTTTAATAAATACTTCATTGATGAAAATTGATGCTCAATTTTCGGCTGGCAGTGATAGCTGTCTGCATGCTGTTATAGTTAACACAGAGCTGGCACTTCTTTGCTCTTCCACACTGTATCTGATTTTTCTTCATAGGAAAATAGATGGGCCAGTTGGAAATGGTAACTTCAATACATGTCCTGGGATCATATTTAGGCAAAAATGTATAAATGGATTATCCAGGATGGTAATTTCTGAAAGCATTACAAATGCTATGGCTGTCTGCCTTGCTTTGTGATGCTGAGATATGAATGGTTAATTAAGGCTGCAGGTCAACTCCTTGGGATAAATCACCATCCCCCTCACCTGAAAACCCCTTCCTCTGCTCTGCAGCTGTCATTCTTCCACATCCTCAGGTGTCTTTCCCAAATGTTTCACAATGAAGCTCCCAGGAGGAGCTGCTGTGCTTGGGGAAAGAGTCACAGTATTTCGGGCTGGAAGAGCCAGAAGGGATTGTGGTGCCAGTGTTCTGCAGGAGACTTAGGACATGGAGGAAAGCCACGGGGTTCTTCTTGGAAACCAGAGAAACTTATGTACATCAGAATATTTCTGAAATTAATTTTACCACATACAAATTCTGTTTTAGTAGAATAATCTTTGCTGCACTAAATAGAAACCAAGCATGATGAACTCATCAAATCAAAACAAGAAATGAATTTTAGGTAGGCAGAATGTATTTATTTAATAGAAATTTGAGTGAAACATCATGTCTTGCATGCTGTTTCTTAGGAAAACTTTTATGAGTTTTTACAACAGGCAGGTTTTGTGCTTTTTCCTTGCCTTTTATTGGTAGTCTCTAATTTCTTAATATTATCTCTTTCTAAACAGGAGCTGAATACATGTGCACACAGCTGAACAGGGGAAGGTGGAAGAACTTTTGTACTGCTGCAGACCATATATCACTGCAATACCCAATCTGCCTTTCCTACTTTCAAAAATAAACAGATTATTAGTCCTCTACTCCTTATGTGCAATCTGGCATGTGAGAAGAGGAGTGTGGAACCTTTCCCCTTTCTCATGTTTCTCCTCTCTGTTCAGCTGGTGGAGCAGGCACTGGGGAGATACCCCCTCAACTCCTCCCCCCTGTGCTTGAAGAGAATTCTGCTCAAAGGTGCACCAGATATATTTTATTCCCTCTTACACCCCTCTAGGGTCAAGCTGAAAGCTGGCCTTTTGATTTTGTCCTCTTTAGAATAGGGTAATTGTCATTTTCTGGAATGTAACGTGGGATATAAATGACAAAATGTCTCAGAGAAATAATGATATCTCCAGCAACACAGTGTCCCCTGGCACTATGTCAGAGCATTAATCCAGAAATGACTCAGATTTTCATTCACTAAGCCACCACGACTGTTCAGTGCCTGTATGCACTGTAGGTTTTGCTGATCACTGTCCATGATTTAGTGAATATTATATTTGAAAATCCATTTAATTTCCTATGCACCATTTTAGTTACAGGACTGTACCATTTCTTCAGTGCACTATAGATATCCATTGTTGTTCTGTAATAATAATATTTTAAACTCACTGTTACTTCTGTATCATGTTTTCTGTCCAAGTCCACTCACTCTGAGGATGTCTCATCAGGAATTTTCTAGTTCTTAGTTTCTCTTAGATGATTTTGGGCTCAAAGCATTATATTTGGAGCTTGCAGTCAAATGTAGCTCCTTTGTGTGCTACACTGTGGTAAAAAGGATTCTCCCTGGGGATGGTAAGTAGCTCCTGTAGTGTTCTGTGCTGTGCCCCTTTTCCCTGTTCTGCCACTCCCTGTGTAGCTTTGGAGAAAGCTGAGAAAAGCAAGCCCAGAATTCTTGCTGATGAAGAAAAAGCCATCAAAGGCAAAATATGTGGTCTTAGAAAATTGTTTCTGCATTTCTAATTTCCAATAGCTGTCCTGTGTTCCTGGTGGCTACTCCAAGACCCCATCTCCTTGCAGATAGTGATGAGAGCCAGTTTAAGAAACAACAGTTAATCACAGAACAACAGTGGATATCTATGGAATATTTAACAGAGAACCCTCAAGCTCATTTGTGCCATCTATCTCTATTTAACATTCTTCTAGTTGTTTCTGACCCAGGAGATCAATATTGTGGGTTTTTTTAAAGAGGAAATTCAAAGAACTATGGTGGATTTTTTTTCTGTTTCAGTAATTTGTAATTCCCTCTCATTTCTCCCTCCTGAGCCTACAGTACATCTGATTAAACATGAGCCTTGATATTCTGGCTGCCCTTTCAAAAGAAAATGCAAGAAAATCCTTTTGCCTATGCCACTGTGACAGTTCCACTTTCTGCTTCTCATTTCCAGTTGTGTACTTGCTAAAGAGGATCAAAGCAGTTGTGTTTACACTGGTAAATTGTAGCAGGTAATTTGGTGATTTAATTTCTCCCTGATTTCTATTTATGAAGTAGGAAACATTTTGTTGTGGTTTTTTTCTTTTTTTTTTTTTTTTAAATGAAAATGCTATCTCCTCTTCAAAATTATTTGCTGAATAATTCTTAGTTGGCAGATTGTGGGTGATGTGTTAGCTTTGAACGTTACATTGCTGTGAGGAATAGGCTGGTTGTGTCTCGACATGTGACAAGCTTCTGCTTTCTCCCTTGCTGAATAACTTTCAGTAGCTGTTGCAACTGTCCAGACTGTTTTCTGGAAAGACTATGTAATTTTTGAGACTGAAAATTGTTGTCCGTTAGCTTTATCTTAGCTGTCATTATTTTTTCAATTAGTGACTACTTCAGGAATTCACTAGAATTAATTGACTGCAGAAATAAAATAGCTGGGCTCAAACTACTGTAAATTGGAAGCTTTTTCTCAAGCTACTGGATTTGTCTGCTCTCTTGGTTTGAGAAGAATTCATTACACTGGAAGGATTTTGATGTAATTATTAAAAGCTAGAAGAATAATTAATGAAATTTCTGTTCTGACTCCAAATTTTGCAACCCAAAATGCTCAAGGTTTGTTGAGGCTGGGTCAGTGAGGCCACTGCCCTGCTCTGCGTGCTTTCTTTTACCTTTCAGTTTCACTCCTGTGGAACATCTGCTCAGAAGGAGGAGACCTTTGGCCTCAACACTAGGGCTGAATTTTCTCTGGTAGGTTTTGAAAGCTCTACAGACAACTCAGTGGTCCTGAGCTCTCAGGTACTGCCACTGCCGTTTCTTTCGTGCTGTTCTCTCTAGCCAGCTGTGGGTTTATCTGCTTGGGGTGCAGTTTGTGTCTGCCCTGCCTCACTCTTCACCTCTCTTTCTTGCATTACTGCAAGGAACTGGGCCATACAAGAAACAGCAAAGGAAATGTGTCTCTGAAAAGAGGAGTGGGGGCTCGAAATCAGGCAAATGCCATAGAATTGTCCATTGTTCTCACAGAAATCCAGCACTTTCAACCGGAAATCTGGAGTCACGGATATGGAAGTCCTGTGTGCAGTATCAGACTTCAAATAAATGCCAGGTACCACTAAGAGTGTTGGAAGCATCATCTTTTTTGTTCATTTTTAGCTGAACATGTTTCACAGCCTTTCAACACTCTCATCCATTGTGAAGTTCAAAGAGGCTTAAATGCTGTAAAACAGTCATCAAATACTATAATTAAACTTGCCAGTCACCCAGATTTGACCCAAACTGCCTGTGTCTCAAGATGTTAGTCAGCTGTCTGGGTTAGATTTCA